ATGGACACCAAAAGCAAGCAGGAGTTAGCTGTTGCACCCCTTTACCTCAGTTTATGTGAGTCTTTATGTGTCAGGTGGATCTCTTGAAGATAGAATATACTTGATGAAGTTGTATCCATTCTACCATTTCGTATCTTCTAGGTGGAGCATTTAGGCCATTTACATTCAATGTTAGTATTGAGATGTGAGGTACTATTCTATTCATCATACTATTTGTTGCCTGAATACCTTAGTGTTTTGTTTTTTTTTTCATTGTGTTACAGTGAAAAATTATAGGTCCTGTGAGATTTATGCTTTAAGGATATCCTATTTTGATGATTTCAAGGATTTACGATTTAGAGCTCCCCTTTTAGCAGTTCTTTTTTTTTTTTTTTTTTTTTTTTTCTGAGATGGAGTCTTGCTCAGTCACCCAGGCTGGAGTGCAGTGGCACGATCTCGGCTCACTGCAAGCTCCGCCTCCTGGGTTCACATGATTCTCCTGCCTCAGCCTCCCGAGTAGCTGGGACTACAGGTGTCCACCACCACACCCGGCTAATTTTTTTTTGTATTTTTAGTAGAGACCAGGTTTCACCATGTCAGCCAGGATGGTCTCGATCTCCTGACCTCGTGATCCACCTGCCTCAGCCTCCCAAAGTGCTGGGATTACAGGTGTGAGCCACTGTGCCCGGCCTTTAGTAGTTCTTTTAGTGCTGGCTTGGTAGTGGCAAATTCTCTCAGCATTTGTCTGAAGAAGACTGTATCTTTCCTTCATTTATGAAGCTTAATTTTGCTGGATACAAAATTCTTGGCTGATAATTGCTTTGTTTAAGGAACTTAAATATAGAACCCCAGTCCCTTTTAGCTTGTAGGGTTTCTGCTGAGAAATCTGCTATTAATCTGATAGGTTTTCTTTTATAGGTTACCTGATGCTTTTGCCTCATAGCTCCTAAGAGTCTTTCCTTTTTCTTGACTTTAGATAACCTGATGACTATGTGCCCAGGCAATGATCTTTTTATGATGAATTTCCCAGGTGTTCTTTGAATTTCTTGTATTTGGATGTCTAGATCTCTAACAGAGCTGAGAAAGTTTTCTTCAATTATTCCCTCAGATATGTTTTCCAAACTTTTAGGTTTCTCTTCTTCCTCAGGAACACCAATTATTCCTAGGTTTGGTGATTTAACATAATCCCAAACTTCTTGGAGGTTTTGATCATTTTTTTAAAATTCCTTTTTGTCTTTGTCAGATTGGGTTAATTTGAAAGCCTTGTCTTTGAGCTGTGAAGTTCCTTTCTTCCACTTGTTCAGTTCTGTTGCTGAGATATTCCAATGCATTTTGCATTTCTCTAAGTGTGTTCTTCATTTCTAGAAGTTGTGCTTGTTTTGTTTTGTTTTGAGATGGAGATTCACTCTTGTCACCCGGGCTGGAGTGCAATCGCAAAATCTTGGCTACCTGCAACCTCTGCCTCCCAGGTTCAAGTGATTCTCCTATCTCAGCCTACCGAGTAGTTGGGATTACAGGTGTCTGCCACCACACCTGGCTAATTTTTGTATTTTTAGTAGAGACAGGGTTCACCACATTGGCCAGGCTGGTTTTGAACTCCTGACCTCAGGTGATCCACCTGCCTCAGCCTCCCAAACTGCTGGGATTGCAGGCATGAGCCACCATGCCCAGCCATGATTGTTTTTTACTTATGCTGTTTCACTGGAGATTTTTCCATTCTTATCCTATATCTCTTTTTTTTCTTTGAGAAGGAGTCTTGCTCTGTCACCCAGGCTGGAGTGCAGTGGCACAATCTCGGCTCGCTGCAACCTCCGCCTCCCCAGATTTAAGCAATTCTCCTGCCTCAGCCTCCCCAGTAGCTGGGACTACAGGTGCCCACCACCATGCCCAGCTAATTTTTGTATTTTTAGTAGAGCCAGGGTTTTGCCATGTTGGCCAGGCTGGTCTTGATCTCCTGACCTCAAGTGATACACCTGCCTCGGCCTCCTAAAGTGTTGGGATTACAGGTGTGAGCCACCACACCCGGCCCTATATCATTTTTTAAGTTTCTTTAAGTTAGACTTCATCTCTTTCTCTGGTGCCTCCTTGATTGACTTAATAGTTGATCTTCTGAATTCTTTTTTCTGGCAATTCAGAGATTTTATCTTGGTTTGGATCCACTGTTGGTGAGCCAGTGTGATCTTTTGGGGTGTTAAAAAACCTTGTTTTGTCATATTATCAGAATTGTTTTTCTGGTTCTTTCTCATTTGGGTAGAGTGTGTGACGGAAGATCTAGGACTCAAGGGCTGCTGTTCAGATTCTTTTGTACCACGGGTTGCTCCTTTGATGTGATGCTCTCCCCTTTTCCCTAAGGATGGTGCGTCCTGAGAGCCAAACTGCAGTGATTGTTATTTCTCTTCTAGATCTAGTCACCCAGCAGAGCTACTGGGCTCTGGGCTGATGCTGGGGAGTGTCTGCAAAAAGTCCTGAGATGTGATTCATCTTCAGGTCTTTCAGCCATGGATACCAGCACCTGCTCAAGTGGAGGTAACAGGAGAGCGAAGTGGACCCTGTGAGAGTCCTTGGTTGTATTTTTGTTAAGTGCCCTGGTTTTGTGTTGGTTGGCCTTTACTTTTTGTAGAGTTTCCCCATAAAACACTGACCAGTTTAACTTCAGTTGCTTTCTGAGTCTGAGCCACTGCCCGACAGGAGTGAGAATTTATTCTCTGATCTCACCAGCAGGGTGCAGTAGGGAGAAAAGTTGCCCTATAATTTCTTGGAGTACAGAACACATATAGATATGGTTTGGTTCTGTACCACTGCTTACCTTTCAGGGCTCCTGTGGTTTGAGTAAGCTTTGGGGGCACAAACTAAAAGTTAACACCAAGAGTACTGCTTGCATGGGTAAATACTACTAAAAGTCAACATACAAGTGAACTTTTAGAGCATATTTTTTATTTGGGAACTACCTGAAATACACAGAAAACTATGCCACCACTTTAACAATCCGAGGACTTCAAATGTTTTCTAAAATCCTCTCTACCCAAGTATCCCCAAAACATGCAAACTTTGATCTGAATTTTCTAACGTTTCCTCATTTTTCATTTGTGTTTATTTTGATTTTTTGAGACAGAGTCTTACTCTGTTGCCCAGGCTGGAGTGCAGAGGCAAGATCTCGGCTCAACTGCAACCTCTGCCTCCCAGGTTCAAGCAATTCTCCTGCCTCCACCTCCCTGAGTAGCTGGGATTACAGACACGTGCCACCATGCCCAGCTAAGTTTTGTATTTTAGTAGAGATGGGGTTTCACCATGTTGGCCAGGCTGGTCTCTAACTCCCGACATCGTGATCCACTCGCCTTGGCCTCGGCCTCCCAAAGTGCTGGGATTATAGGGGTGAGCCACCACGATCGGCTGTCCTCATTTTTCTATAAATAATTTTAGATAGTAGGGTAAATGGAGCTCTTATCTACAGGAATTTGAAAAGCTCATATTGAGAAATGTTTTCCCAGGCAAATTTCTAATGCAGCTATTCCTCTACTTTTGAAATGTCTATCCCTCAGCTCAAAAGAAAGCCCCCTGCAATTTAGATTCTTTAAAAAAAAAAATTAAACCGGAAAGGGATAGTTTTAGCTTGTTCCATATGAAATCTTGCTGATAAGCAAGTTCAACTACATTTCTATCCAAAAGAGTTCCTTTAAAAAGTCTGACTTACAGCCAGGCACAGTGGCTCATGCCTGTAATCCCAACACTTTGGGAGGCCGAGTCGGGTGGATCCCCTGAGATCAGGAGTTTGAGACGAGCCTGGCCAACATGGTGAAACCCCATCTCTACTAAAAATAAAAAATTAGCCGAGCGTAATGGTGCACATCTGTAATCCCAGCTACTTGGGAGGCCAAGGCAGGAGAATCGCTTGAACCCAGAAGGCAGAGGTTGCAGTGAGCCAAGATTGTGCCATTGCACTCCAGCCTGGGCCACGGAGCAAAACTCCGTCTCCAAAAAAAAAAAAAACCAAAAAAAAGTCTTACAATAGTACTTCCTGTTTCCATTTGTTCATGCAAATCTCAAACAATAAACCTGCTCTTGTCAAGTTGCAGCTAATCTCCAGTTTATTTTACTGTACATAGTTGTATATTTAAATTTTCTTAATATTGTGAACATTAACATCTCAACCCATCTGAAATGACTACTGTCTTCTGATGGTGAAAGCTTCACAGAAAAGCTGGCCACGTCATGCTGTCATCACTCAGTCCCACAACACCACACTCTCCTCCCTCCTGTGTTTCTGACTAGACGTTGCTTTCTGGACTTTTCTAAGGAAGCACAGGCCCAGCTTCTAATTCGACCAAAGGGTTTGAAAGACTAAATTCTAGCATTTTCTGAATGCTTCATAGATGTTCCAGAAGACATTAATAATAAATGACTACAATAAGCATTCCAAATGATATTCTAAAATGAGTACTTTCTGGCCGGACACAGTGACTCATGCCCATAATCCCAGCCCTTTGGGAGGCCGAGGCAGACAGATCACTTGAGGTCAGGTGTTGGAGACCAGCCTGGCCAACATGGTGAAACCCTGTCTCCACTAAAAATACAAAAATTAGCCGGGCATAGTGGTGCATGCCTGTAATGCTCAGGGGCTGAGGCAGGAGAATGGCTCAAACCCAGGAGGCAGAGGTTGCAGTGAGCCGAGATTGTGCCACTGCACTGTAGCCTGGGCAACAGAGCAAGGCTCCATCTCAAAAATACAAAAGAAAATGAGAACTTTCTGTGCTCAAAACTATCAGCTAAACTATTTCATCAAAAGACTCCACTAATCAGGAAAACTGATGCCAAAGATACCAAAATTGATCAGTGGAAAACATTGGTTTATAACTCGACGTTTTGTAGAAGTGCACATTTTGATAATTTGTATTAAAGACACTAAGATACATGAAGCACTGTGTAAGTTTGGCAGACATTAATATCTAATTTCAGAGGCGGTAAACCTATGAACCCTCAATGTTCTAGTTTGCTCTTGAAAATCACACTATTTCAAAGCTTAGTAATGTGGATAGATTTTTATTCAGAAATCCTTTCATATTCACTAACTGCAATTAAACATTTAAAATTACATGGCTCTTAGGAACGATGTCAAACATGCAACATTTTAAGAGTGATAGATTTAAACAGTAATTTTGCCCTCAGAAGTTTACTTATCAAATTATTACAACAGGAACACAAATAGACCATATATTACTCTTTAATTAGATTTGTTTTACAATATGTTCTTGTCAATGAGCTACGTCAAACTGTTTAAACCTGATAGAAAAGCATTTTCACAAAAACGTACCATGGAGAGGGAGGGGGAAGGGAAGAAGCACTTTTTCTAGAGATGGGAAATAGTCCCAGTAAAAAATTCTGACTCCTTTCTTCTAAGGAGCTCATTCTGAATATTTTCACTTAGTTCTATTGTTCTTTAAACAGGACTTTAAAAAGAATTTTGTATTTACAAAATTTACATTTTGTTGCTACAAAATGTAATTTACGTTGTAAAATAAAAATGTAAAATTTTAATTTTGTTCCTACATGAGAAGTGTGCATACTTTCAATTAGTTTTCATTAATACCTTCTGAGTTTCCTCTCAGGTGGTTGGTTTCTGAGTAAGGCAGAGTTAGGCTGGTGCACACACTATTTAGGAAGTCCTGTCTCGTGGCTGACAACATACTTGTAGTGCTCAAAGAAGTGAGTTAAGGAGTGACATGGGAATCAAAATGATGCCTAGAATAGTGTAATTTAGGAAACAGCCCTAGATTTCATATTTTGGAAGCTTTTCATTTTAAGAAGAGACCCCAAAAAGAAGGAAAAAGTAAAGGGTTCCTCCACTAAATATTCCATTCATCCGTACCTACTCAACGGTCATTATGATGAGGCCATCTTAATCTGGGCCAGTGAGACACTCTTCCCCCTGTAACTCAGCCTAGTTCTGTCTTTTGGGATGTGCCTAAACGTGATGGGTGAGGGGGCACTAAACAGCTAACACTGACCAGGGAATTAAGGAGCTAAAATGCAAGTACCTCTTGAATACCATAGCAATCTCTGTGTACAAATTTGGACTGTACTTTGTGGGAGAAGAGGTGAAAACTATTATTAACCATTCCCTTCCTTCAACCAAAAGGAAAAATACGCCTCTTCAAGGCTTCTTTTAATGATACTATAATGCTGAATTTATTTATGAAAAAGAAACAATACAGGTTTAGGTGGGAAAACCCCCAAGGAAACAGAGTAAGTCACTGGCTATGAGAGGACTTGAATTCCCTGGGGACAGTGCTGTGGGGTCAGCCCCCATACTCCAAGCCCCTGCTCTCCATCCCAGCACCTCAGTCTGAGTATAGATAATACTGCATTTTTGTAAAGACAAAGGCATCCTGCATTTACCATCACACTCCCCCTACTCTTGTCCTAGTCATCTTACATACTTAGTCCTTAATCTCTCCCAAAACCCTTCTCAGCGCCCATTGTTACTGTGCCATCTACAAAACAACACATACGTTAAAACTCAGATATGTTTTTAACAAAAAAAGTGCTTAAAACCACCCTAGGCAATTGTTTTTCACTTCATTTTCAACCAATAAAATCAAATTCATTTAGATTTACGAGTAATACTGAAAAAATAATGTTTATTCTCTTACATTTTAAATAATGTGCCTTCATCCCAACTTTACATTAACTGACTCATTTCAGTATCTAAATGAGCTCTCATTTGAAAAATAGAGAAGATACAACTATATAGAATTTTTAGGATAAAAAATGTTCTGGATAGAAAAATCCTTTTGATGTTTCAAAATAACACAGATTCTCAGTATAGTTTTCAGTTTGGTAACTAAACCATTAAGTAACCAAGGTTTTCAAAAAATTACAAAAGATAATAACATGATTTTTAAATACAAAGTTATATAGGAGCCACTCATATCTGTGGATCATCCCTACACAAAGTTGTTTCTCACTAGAAAATCCCTAAATATTTGTCATAAAATAAAACTCCATTATCAAAAATTAGTTTAAGATAGAAATCTATGCGCTTTAATGATTGCCAGAATTGCCCAGCATAGCTTCAGTAAAATAGAGCATTGTCTAGAAAATACAATCTCCAAAATGTGTGCAAGTACTGCAAACCGGACAGACCAGGGCAGGGCAAGGCCCTTGAAACCAAGTCCTCCTTGAGCACCTTTCCCAGGTTAGAAACCCGTCTTCAGCCTGTGCTTCGCACATTTCCTTCAGTGCGCCGCCATTCAGACTGCACCATTTACGTCCCAGTGCCACGCTGCGTGGATCAAGTGTCAAGCGGGGAAAGTATGAGTTAGGCAAGAGCTTTTTTTTTAAAGCTGTAAACGCTTCACATGACTGGCCCGGTAAGAAATCTGGGAGCTTAGATGAGCCTGGAGCTTTTCAGGAACTGGATGAGGACTCTGTACACAAACGTGTACTGGCAGAGAGTCTGCACCAGCATCATTCTCTGTTGCCTCAGCATGTCCAGTACTCTCGGGATGTCCAGTACCTAGGTTGAGAGAAATGGTAATGAAGATAATGCGTTCCCCTTGGGAGAGAGAAAGGATGGGAAGACACTAGTGTCCTGGCAGAAACCTGGTTAGGAGATGCACACAGTCTCTTTTCCACCTTAGCATCTTTTAGAAATAAGCCATGATTGCCTACTTCTGATTTTCGGATTAGTTTTAACTATAAATAGAATGTCCATGCAGACTATTTCTTCAACATTCCCTGGGTATAGCTCACTGACTCTGTATGGTTGGACATAATTACCATATCTCACTAAATACCAAGATTCTACAAAAACATAGTGTGCTATCAATATCTAACTATTTCCCTCAAGGGCTCTGGGCAGCATGAATCATCCTTGAAATGTAAACAGAAAAAAAGAGTTCTGAGCTCAAATTTGAAAAACCTTGGGCAAGTAAAACAAAATTAAACAGCTTTACTTATCGTATGACTTCTCAGTCTTTACTATGCTAATTGGTCCTGAGAATCTCCAAGAAGACACAGCCTTTTGCAGGGAACATTAGTAACATCTTGAGGCCGCCAGAGTCCAAGGAAATGTGCGCAAAAAGAGCGATTAGGTCACTACATCCCTCTCTTCCCCAGCCTTATTTCCACCCAAAAAGGCCAGGCGATCATAAGCGCCATCACCTCATTGTGTTCCAGGCAGGCGATCATGATCTCTGACAAAATAACCACGCCAGTCCTTCCTACCCCAGCACTGCAGTGGACCAACAACGGAGGGTTTGGGCTTTGGGGATCACTTGTGCTATTTGTATGGCGTCGAACAGACTGGATCTCTTCAAGATACGCTGTGGAAAATCAATGAAACAGAAAAATACTCAAGGATCAAGGCGTATCACATTGACGACTCAAGCTTCACATTCTCTCCACTGATTAAGAGGACTGCAGATAAAGAGCACTGGGTACCAGTGAACCAAACCCAACCACCAAGGGACAGTGTGACCCTGAGCAAGTCACTACCTCTGCCTACTTTCTGGTCTACAAAATGAAACAGGGGAGATACTGAGTCAGTTGTGGCATTCTACTCACTACCAAATCATAATTTATAAACCTCTTGTTACCCCTCCCCAAAACACTTGTATTCTTTATGTTAAAACAAGTCTGAAGCTTGTATGAGAGAACATAAAGGAAATATTTCAGAAACATAAATGTTCCTCTCTGTTTAACAGCTCCAGAGGCAGCTGTCCTGGGAACAAACTTAAAAGTCACTCACATAAAAATCCCTTAAGGTCTTCTGGACAGCCATGCTCAGGCCAGTCTGTGTATTGGAGGTGCCAGACGGTCCTCTCTTGCCCGGTAAGGAGGTGCTTCATCTTCAGGCCCGTGGTGGCATAGCAGCCAGAGTCTGTGCGGAAGCGGGTCGTGATCTTAAACCTTCCATAGGTGACAGTGTTGTGCCTGGAACCAAGTCGTGGCCAATACCTAAAGCTCTTCTCCCTTCCACCCTCCTGTTAAAGATGAGCACGGTTAAATGACTTGAGATCCGGCAATGGATGCCCTTCTCACACAGATGGCACATCTGAAACAGAACCACAACCCTACCCTGCCTTTTTCGCCACAGGTCAGGATTCTAGATGATTAACATTAACTGTTCTTCAGAGGCTGAGAAAATCACTTAAGAGAAATGAATACCTACCTCTTCTGCTGTCACCATTGCTATAATTGCAATTCCCTGTTCCCATACCATCTGCCAAAAATCTTGACAGGTATTCTGTAATGGTCCCTGTGTGGCAATATAATCCCATTCAATTCCACTGACAGAGACCTGGGATTAGAAAAGGTTAAAAAAATTGACATGTGTGTATAATATACATAGGTATGTATGCATATATTCATGGTAGTACTAAAAAAGTTGTTTAAAAAAGTAAAAAAGTAGTAAACTGGATTATTCAGCAGAATAAGGAAAGACTTTTCATCTTTTCCCTTGTGAATACAATTTGCATTACTGACATTTTTATAAACTTAGGTACTGTGAATATACATAATATCTATGCAACCTGCTTAACCTTGCTGAATCTCAGTTCTCATTTATAAAATAAAAATACTGCCTACCCTCATAGGGTCGTTGTGAGGACTGAGTCAGTATCTATGGTACCTGGTATATAACTCAATAAGTAGCTATTATTACAGCCATGGTTCTTCTTCTTTAAAAAAAAAAAAAAAACTTCCTACTTAAGATAGTCTCACCTCTGAACTTCTGAGTCAAGGTCACTCTCCAAAATAATATTAAGTTTCCACTTAAGATTTAAGTTCCTTGAGAGCAGTCTAATATAACAGTAATTACTAGATTTGTAGTTAAGAGACCTGGGTTAAATCTTGGCTTCACCAATGTTGAGTGATGATAATAACTGTCTCCAAACGCTCACTAAATGTAAAACCCAGTGCCAAGCCTTGTGTCACCTGCACTCTCACTCAGGGCGGCCAGTCCCCTAGTTACTGCTCCACGTCGTCTCACTGAGCACCCAGTGGCTGCCACTGTGGATGAGTAGCAGATTATAACAGTGAATAGTACTAGGGAGGAGGAGGGGGCTAGTGAGAAGCCGGCAGGGTAGGTGTCATCATTTATTTATTTCCATATAACTGAGATGAGGTCCCACAACACAGCTTATAAAGTGAGGTCCCACCTCATTTTAGATCTAGGAGTCAGACCCAGGTCTATCAAATTCTTTCCTCTATTCTGCAAGTGGCTGCTGAAGATTTTGAAATATCACTACAGAACTACAGTATCATTCATTCTTATCCATCTAGTCATAAGAGACTGGATGAGTTATTTCAAAGAAATGCTCAGTTTTTAAGTAAAGTATGCTGATCTTATATTTAAAAATAAAAGAGTATGTGCATAGGTTCCCAAAAGCCATCAAGGGGTACTGGCATTCACAGGCAGACTTCCAGTCTCCAGAAAGCCTTGGTGTCAGCTTGTTCCCTTCTCAAATAATACTTGCAAACTAAAGAAAAAAAAACACCACCTGTCCACACTTACTCCTTCACTCACCATGAGATTTCTCCTTCCCAAAATAAAGAATTGAATGTGGCCAGCATGAACAAAGGGTACAATGAGGAAGAGGGAACATCTGGCTTTATTCCATCATGTGTTGTGAATCATCATTTTGTCCATTTTCATGGCAGTGATATTACCCCAGATAAGGTGCCAAGAACATACACTGGGAAAGGACAGTCTCTTAAATACATGGGGTGGGAAAACTGGATATCCATAAGCAGAAAAATAAAACTAGACCCCCTATCTCTCACCATAAACATTACCCCAGTTTAATGACATTATACTGGTTCCAGGAAAAAAGCACTTCTTCAAAGAACAAAATGATACTTAAAAATTATTACAAAGAGTATGCAAAGAGAACAGATGGCACCTTTTGAAAGCTTTTGTGAACGCCATCAAAAAGCCGAGACACTTCTGTTACATAAAAATGCATGTCGGTATGTGATGAGGAAAAACTAGCAATTCAGTGGCTCCCAGAAGAATTTATGAGCTAAAAAGAGGTCTTCAGATTTAGAAGGACAAAGTTCTAAAGCCAGGCAACAGAAGGTCAAGGCTGTAGGAGCCATGATCACACCACTGCACTCTACCAGTCTGGGCGACAGAGCAAGACTCCATCTCAAAAAAGGCAAAAGAAAAAAAGCCAGGCAAATAAGTGTGCCCTGAATCCTGGTAACAGTGCTGGGGGCAGAGTGGTTTCGCACATGGAGAGACATGACTTTGGCTCTGTCTGATAGACACTTTTTACCTAGCACTGGTGTGTGCATTTCCCAGCTTGTAGTACAGTTTGTCACAAATGTTCAAAACTAGAGTGTTTATCTAAAACAATAAAATGAAAATAAATTTTAAAATATCTGCATTCTAAACAGACATGAATACAATTCTTACCATTCTTGTAATTTAATTGAAACTGCATGTGCTGTTTATTACTTGAGGCGTTCCTCTCACCTTAATATGTGATGCATTGATGTAACCAGTGTTGTTTTCTTTAGTTGGGACCAACTCCACTCTCGCATCGTCATAAGGAAGAACATCTTGGAATCGATTTCTTTCTGCATTTTCAGGGAGTCGTGCTGTTGAGCACTCCCCATCAACTAGCCGTTTCTTAAGAATTCTTTCATATTCTGTGAATACCATTCCTTGTTCTAATCGTTGTTCCAGAATTTTACACTATAAAACAGAATATGTGGAATAACATGAATACAGCCACATGTCGTGGCTACCTTTTGACTGTATATTTGAAATCTTGTTTTCTGCTTCACACCTAGCACTGTCTAATATTGAAAATTCTAGGTTGGGCACGGTGGCTCATGCCTGTAATCCCAGCACTTTGGGAAGCCAAGGAGGGAGGATCACTTGAGCCTAAGAGTTCAGGACCAGCCTGAGCAACACAGTGAGACCCCGTCTCTGCAAAAAATTTAAAAATGAGCCAGGTGTGGCGGTGCATGCCTGTGGTCCCAGCTACTTGGGAGGATGAGGCAAGAGGACTGCTTGAGTCCAGGAGGTTGAGGCTGCAGTGAACTGTGAGGTTCACTATCTCAAAAAAATCAAAACAAATAAAAACAAAAACAAAATTCTAGGTGAAAACAAAGTTAAAATTTTAACAAGCCACAACAACAAGAGTTAAAAGAACAAAAGACAATCATTTTGGTGAGAAATATAATGCAAAGTTTTGTTTAAAGTTGAAAATTGGCCTAAAGAAATTTGTTGAATTCATTTTCTCTAGATCTGTGGTCAATTTTGTGACCCCTAATAGATGGAATTCTCCTGGGGAACAGTAAATCTAGGGGACGGATAATGAGTTCCAACATCTATGAACACGTGTTTTCATTTTATATCATATGACATATAAAAGACTAAAGCAGTAGGAAATATTGGAAACTACCTCCAGGATCCCGTTATAAAGCAAATGTATGCCTATCTGATTTTGATGTAATAAAAACTCTTAGAAAATACACCTCAGGCACAAAAGGAAGTTTTGAAAAATTGAGAAACTACTCTCGAGATAAACTTTCAATATAATAAAAGTCAATGTCTGCTGTCTTTCCTATGTATGCTCCTGTATTTTTGTAGATTTCTTCTCACTTGAAGGCCATCAAAATCAAGACTACCCCAAAAGGCCAAGAGAAGGTAAAAAAGAACACTGAGAAACAAACAAAAAATCAGCATTCAAACCTGAAATTATCTATAGACATTAGCTATACATTTGCCCCAATTTTGAGGCCCATATTACAAAATTCCTTAACAATCATTTATTATTAAATTGCATTAGAAAATTCACCAAAATCTCATGAAGGCATTTGCGTAGTATTTACCGGTTGTTCCAGAGAAGGCACAAAGCCCCGTGTGTCCCATACGTACCCTTTCATCATTTGTTGCTCTGGTAGCCACTTCCTTTCCTTCATCAGGCAGAGGCACTCGAGATAGGGAGAGTCCGTTTAGGGCAGCCAGTTTAAGAGGACCAATTTTTTTTGCATCTACTCGAGTCTTTTTCATTCCCTGTAAAAGAATTTATATGTATATATGAAACATACACAAATACAACCCCTGTGAAAAGAAATGTCAATGCACTGAAGACCAGGAACACACAAAGGGAATGTTCTCCTTTCACAATAAACCCAGAAAGATTACACTCCTTCACACACCACTTGTTTACCAAACATTAGTAGGAAGACATTCCTTTCAAGGCCAAAGCCCTGATAAGTCTTCCAGATAGAAGGTTTTGAAACACGATTGGTTACAAAGTTCTGCTGTAATGAAAGGTGAGGCTCCAGGCAGACCGCATTCCTTTTAAAACAAGACAGACATAAAAAATCAGCTGAAGTCCCAAAAAAAAAAAAAAAAAAAAAAATGCAATCACTTGACTATAATAAGCTTTCATCGTTTGTGTTTTTGTTTTTGTTTTTTTGAGACAGGATCTTCACTCTGTCACCCAGGCTGGATGGAATGCAGTGGCACCATCCTAGCTCACTGCAGCCTCAACCTCTAGTCTCAAACAATCCCACCTGAACCTCCTGAGTACCTGGGAATACCAGCACATGCCACCATGCCCAACTAATCTCTGTGTTTTTTGTAGAGATGGGGTCTCACTATGTTGCCCAGGCTGGTCTCGAACTCCCAAACTTAAGCAATCCTCCTGTGGTGGCCTCCCAAAGTGCTCGAGATTACAAGCATGTGCCACCATGCCTGGCCAGCTTTTATAATTTTTAAAATATATAAATTCTTTAAGTCATTCTGAAAAAATTAAATGCTTTCTGCAGCAGCCCCCTTTGTGTGTTGAAGCTCCCTCCTCATATGCTACTCTGCGTTCTAGCGTGGACTTGGATGACGCGGGTTAGATCACGCTACCTCTCAGAATGGCTACATTTTTAAACAAGGAAAATAAAACAGAGCTAAAATCTCCATCATGACACCAGGAGGACAGGACAGAACAGAAGGCATCAACAAAATCCTATCTCCTGAAATCAGGTGCTTCCTAAAGTTATTATTAGAGCATGATTTTCCTCTCTGAGAATAATAAGCATAAGAACGCTAAGTTGACCAGGCGCGGGGGCTCACACCTGTAATCCTAGCATTTTGGGAGGCTGAGGCAAGCGGATCATGAGGTCAGGAGATTGAGACCATCTTGGCCAACATGGTGAAACCCCATCTATACTAAAAATACAAAAATTAGCTGAGCAGGGTGGCGCATGCCTGTAGTCCCAGCTACTACGGAGGCTGTGGCAGGAGAATGGCTTGAACCCGGGAGGCAGAGATTACAGTGAGCTGAGATCATGCCACTGCACTCCAGCCTGGGGGCAGAGTGAGACTCCGTCTCAAAAAACAAATGCTAAGTTTCGTTGGATATACTGCACTTCCTTGGAAGACATCAATATAATGAGTAGTCCCAACTGGAAAAAAATGGTTCTGCCCTGTAAACAAAATCAGTGTTACTCCAGCTCTCTCAACCTGTAACAGGCCAGGAAGCCCCATGATAATGGCGCAGGAACAGAGGGAAAAGGCATCTTGGTAAGAGGGGAAAAAATCCTAAAAGATTGCTGCTGTAATTGGAGACTATGATTGGTACCTAACTCAAAAAGCTAAGTGGATTAATTTTTAATTTTATAATTCACATTTGATAATGAGCTCCCCACATAATGCAGTCTAGACTAGAAGCAGCAGAGGCCTGGGTTCACATGTGGCTTCTAACTGACTAACTTCTTTCAGGCAAGTCACTTTTCCTCTGTAAGCCTCACCTAGACAGAAAGAGACAGATACACTCAGACACAGGCATACAGACTAAAAAGTTCCTGCTTAGGCTGAAATGTAATGGTTCTAACGTGCAGAAAACAGTGATGTGCTGGTAATATTTAACACTGGCTCTTGGAAGGAAGTTTTGATTGGTGTTTGCCCATATCCATGGTGTAAATACTCCCATCACAGCCAATTTCAAACTGTTAATGTCCCATCAGTTGACCCACAAGATTCCTGAAAATTTAAGTCGGCTCTTGCCAGCCAATACGAGCTAGCTCCCACACTTCTCTGCCTGAAAATGACTCAAAATATCCCACACTGGGACACGCTGGATAAAGTTGATTGGCTGTGAGGTCAGTTCAAAGCCAGTATTGGAAGAATGTTGTATGTAGTCAAAACTAGCCTTGAATATGCCTTAATTAGCCCTTAGAATATAAGCATAGGATTTTAATGCATACCCTGCACAGTGATTTCTTATGTGAGAACCACTGCACTAAAGGGTACAACAAAAAGAAAATCTTTATGTAGATGTATGAGCACCCAAACCAGTCTGCCTTTAAGATAACAATCAGGTCGCTGGAGGTGGAGATGGGTGGAGAATTCTAAAATCATTCCTACTTGTCTGCAGTTTATTTCACTGTTTTTAATACTAAACGTCCATAACCTTAATTCACATTAGGAAATCTGTTGTAACGATTAAGATAATGGCAACCCCATGTTACTATGAAAGGTCAGAGGAGACAACAGGGGATTGGCCTCTTCCACTCTTGAAAACCATTAAGTTAAATGTACGATGCCACCTCACAGTAATGTTCATATTGACTAAGCTCTTTCAATGTGCCAGAACCTCATTTTATTCCCCCAACAATTCTCTGGGGTCCTCTCATTTACAAACGTAAAAACTGAGTCACAGAGAGATTAAATAGCTTGTCTGAGGCCACATGGCTGCTTCTTTTACAAGGTAATCAGTGTCAAAACAAATAAAAGCAAATCTTTGGTTAAAATCAGTTATGCTGAATCATATAATTCAGGAGGCATTTCTTCATGCCTAACTGCATGTGGGACATAATGCCATGAAGCAGGCAGAGCAGGGATGACCGTCCTCGTGATCTGAGGTTATCTGATGTGGAAGCTGAGGTTCTGACGCATGAAGGGTCCTGACCGTGTCACCAAGAAATAACAAATGGCAGGCTCTAGACTCAGCCCCAGGGTTCTTAACTCGTAGGACCTCTGCTCTTTCCTTGTGACCACAGTTGCCATACCCATTCTTTAAGTAGAATCCTGTAAGCAAAAAGGACCAAAACCATAATCCAATCACATAATTTTACTATTATTGTGGTCTTAAAAGTCAATGGGAGAGAAAAGTTCTTTTAAGAGAACCAAATTGATCAACGTCCTCAGATTTAACTGAACCTACCAGACCCCATTCAAAACATACAGGGATAAAATAGGCCTGAGTACTTAGCTATACTCAAATAGCATTTGGGGAAAGTACTTGAGTCACCATAAAAACAGACAGTTCTTAATGCAATGGGAAGGGTGTGAAGTATAAAAGGACTCTGTCCAGCCGGCTCCGGGATTCAGGTAGAGTTACTTTGAAAAGTATCTTATCCCTGAATCACTGCTCCCTACACTCTTAAATCTGTGTCTGCTGAAGGCATTGACCTTTACTGTTCAGGTACGTGAGTCATGTTGTACACTTGTGAAAAACTTAAAAATCAACTTAAAATTCAAACCCAAAACTTACTAAAAGAAAGCAAATTTAGGCCAGGTGTGGTGGCTCACACCTGTAATCCCAGCACTTTGGGAGGCTGAGGCAGGCAGATCACGAGGTCAGGAGATGGAAACCATCCTGGCTAACATGGTGAAACCCCGTCTCTACTAAAAATATAAAAAATTAGCTGGGTATGGTGGCGGGTGCCTATAGTCCCAGCTACTCGTGAGGCTGAGGCAGGGGAATTGCTTGAGCCCGGGAGGCAGAGGAGGCAGTGAGGCGAGATCACACCACTGCACTCCAGCCTGGGCAACAGAGCAAGACTCTTCTCAAAAGAAAAAAAAAAAGCAAATTTAAATCTATGGTACTTTTTTTGTTAAGTAGGTTTTTTTACATTAATCTCTTTCATAAGCACTATAATAGTGTGGGTTTTTTCCTGTTTAGCAAGATGTTTGCAGCATCTTAAAGGATCTCATACACTAGGCCAGAACCACACTTGAAATGAGCCCTCTTGTCTGAGTTTGCAATTTAGCAGCGATGAGGGGAGGAGAACCCTAGTTGCCAGGACACTGGAAGCCAACGGGAGATAGGATGGAGGCCCTAATTAAGTTAGCCTGGCTCAAGTGCGGGGCATGAGGAGTGGAGATGTGGGCCAGGAAAAGCTGGAAGCCTGAGCACTGCAACAAAATAACTTCGGGTGGACACACTTCATCACAAGGCCACAAATGCTTAGTCCCAGGTTGAGGACGGAGTTTAAAAGTTTCAGTGAAAGACAGACTAGCAAGGCTTCAACAGGTAATTATGACTTAATAGAATATATACAGTATACTTCAATGCAGAACATACATTGATAATGTAGATGATAACAGAACGGGCTGCTAAGTATGGGTTTAAAATTCCAGTTCAGTCACTCACTAGTCATGTGACCTTGAAAAGTTAGTTAATATCTAAGTCTGTTTCTTCAACTGTAAAACAGGCATAACAATAGGCTTACTGTAAATAGGCCAGAAAAGTAGAGGAAACGCTTGGCCCATGGTAAATGCTCCAAGGATGGCAGCTAGAGATGATGCTATTATGCTTTTTTATATTTTGCTTCAAAGTAGGTAAAAAGTGCTTAATTCATATTTATTTATTAGGCTGAATATTAAAGAACTGCATCTTCTACAAGGGTCTTTCCTTAGATTCTCAGTTGAATTCATCTTTCTTTTAAATTTAAGAAACCTGGACGTCTCAGGATTTGCCTTGACAAAGTGCCACCTTCCCAACTCCAGGATCACTCTGGAGAATCACAGCCAAGATATGTAAGCTATATCCACATACACTCCAACGTGGAGAATAATATTAGGATTGGGAACACTTTCCTGGATGCTTTTCTCAGATATCTCTTCAACAAACTAAACAAATGCACTCCTGGGGTGCTGCATCACCCACAGTATTTTTAATGGGTGGCTAAAGCAATCCTGGCTAAAGTCATGAAACCTTAACTGTCTTTCCCTTAACACTGCGTTACTAAAACCTTTCATCTTTTCCATTCCTTTCGACAAAGCCCTGTGAATTTACCTTTTCACTTCATCTATAATAATCTCCAGTAAAACCACTAAAATTCAAGTGGATCCCCATGATTTCCATATGTAAATTTAAATGTGTTCAAAATTAGACAGACAGACAGTGACGTGGGGGAATGAAGAACGTTAGAAGAACAAGAGGAGCTGAAAAACACGGGACGTGATGAGTGAAAGAACCGCCAGGGCGAAGGCGCAGTCCCCTGGCCGGGCACTGCTCGCCGCGTGGCTTACCCCCAGGGGCGGGAGCCCTTCCACGATGTTCTTCTTCCCAGAGAGGAGGTCCGACACCGGCCTCTTCTTCAGGGAGTCCCTCCGGGCTCGGTAGCGGCCAGACGTGGTGAGGTCAGACTCCGACATGGAGGGCGTCAGCAGCCCGTCTCTCCAGGGCCGCTGGGCCTCTGCGGTCGTGCGGACGGGACTGCTGTCCATCATCCTCTTCTCCGAGTCCGGGACGTGGGCCTTGGGCTCGAGGATGTGCAGGGGCCCGGCGAGCAGGGCGCGAGGGCAGCCAGGTGGGTCCTGGGTCAGGCCAGGCCGGGGCTCGCGCGCACGTCCAGGGGGCGCCCGGGCCCCGCTCTCCTCCTCGAAGTCCTCGTCCTCTTCCTCCTCGCTGCTGTGGATCAGCATGGTGGCGTCTGACAGGGACTTCTCATGGCCGTATCTCAAACCCTCCGCCTCCTCCTGCCCTTCCCGCTTCGTTCTCTCTGTGAAAACGCTGGGCTGGGAGCCCGCCGAGAGGGCTCGCGGCACCACCTCCGCCGCCGACGCGGACAGCGTCCGCTCCTTGAGCCGCAGGCCCTCCAGGCAGTGGCTGAGCCCGGCCACCTCGATGCTGTTCCGCTTGTGCAGCTGCGCGTGGCGCGCGGCGGTGAGGGGCTCGCTGACTTCCTGCAGCGAGTGCGCCACGGGCAAGCTGTCCTCCTGGAACGTCTGCACCGAGTGGTGCACGCGCCTTGTGATGAGGTCGGGGTTGCTGCTGCTGATGTACAAGTGGCGGGACAGGTCGGGGGTGCTGTTGGCTGGCCTGGGGGGCGGGTAGGGTGGGGGTGGCCGGTACACCTGCGTCCGCATGATGTTGGGGGCCGGGTAGTCCTGCGCCTGCAGCTGCACGTTCGTCAGCTCGGGCACGCTGACCGCGCCCACCACGGGTCGCCGCTCGGCGGGGTAGGGGTAGGAAGACGGGCTGTGGAAGCTGTAGCTCAGGCTGAACGGGCAGTGCGCGGTCGGCGGCGAGGGGAGCTGCGCGTGCTCGCGGATCTCGGGCTGGCTGTAGACCAGCGCCGCAGGCCTGCTGTAGGCGTACGAGCTGCCGATGTTGAGGTTTCGCAGCGAGTGGCTCTGCCGTTCCGCATGCACCAGGCCCCTGTTGAGCTGCTTCATCACAGTCTCATAGTCTGGGGTGGGGCGGTAGGACGGGGGTATCAGGGCGCTGTGCCGATGGGATGGGACGTAGTCAGGCCTCATGACGTCACTCCCGGTGATGCTTGGGTTGGACGACATCGGCGAGGGCTGCAAGTAGGGCTGAGGATTATTTAAGGAGTTGGTGCTGTGTGCGCTGTAGACACTGCCATTACGAATCCGACCATTGAGGTCAATCTGGGCTCTATCCAAGCTTGTCTGAGAGTGACAGTAGTATCCGTTCTGGTTGGGCACAAAGAGGTTATCTAGAAAAAGAATAAGTTCAAAATGAGATTTTTTTAAATTGGACTAATTACTCCAACCAAATATTGAGATCGGCCCTTACCTCTGAGGACATTTGAACACAGCTTGTAAAAATCCATGCTAAAATGACCTAGCTTTAGCCACACTATCTGAGTGACCCTGGGAGCTTCGGCTTCCTCATCTATAGGATGGGGATGGCTCTGCCTACTTAAGGGGTGGCATTCATTGGGTGACAAAGTAAGACCCTGTCTTAAACAAACCACACACACAGCAGACTGGCAGACTTTTTGGAACTCTGTGGAAGTTGAGGCAGAGATACCATTCAAGGCACTGGGCTGGGGACTCTTTCTTCCCTGGGTAGGGATGTGGCCTTGCTGCTGCTGAGCCAGTTCAAGCACCGACTGTCTGTAAGCATTTCCTTAACTGGAATTTTTGATTGTTCTTCCCAAATGAATACACAAGCTTCGACTGTAAAAGGGTAATGATATAGCAGGATCTGAGCTTCTCTGGTCCAACAGTGTCACCAGCAGCCACACAGCCCATAAAGTGTCCAGAGCCAAGAGGAGTCACATTAAAACAGCTGCAGCTGCCCCCTGCCCTGGCCCTCATATTTCAGGAAGATCCAGACCTGCAGCTAACAGAATCAGTTTAACCTAATCTTACAATAGCTATGCATGTGTCCCTGCCCAGGGATGACAGGGGCCATGTTTCTTCTAGTCAATTTGTAGCTCACCTGCCTTCTGTTACTGAGGATGATTTCTAACCCCAGATGATTTCTAATACTCAGCAGCCAACTCCTTCAAATAACAATTTCCTCTGAAAGGCATTATTTTTGTGCTTCAAAAGCTCCATAGTGATTTAAGTGATACTTAATATGCCACAATCCGGTGGGTACACTTTATTCTGGTGGCACATAAGGCTGTGAGAAAATAGCATTCAAACCTCCATGGCATTCTTCTGCTGACACATAGCACTTCCTTGTCACTGTGCTTTCCTTGTCTATGCAAAGCTTGGTCATGGCTCCATCTCTGCAATCCCACTTTTCTCACTGCTGTCACAGCTCGGGCCCCTACCCCAGGCTTGTCTGAACTAGCTCTATATCCACCTAATCTCCCTGCTTCTGCACCCCACAAACCATCTAGCCATTTATGGGACTGTTATGTGGAAAAGGCAATACTGAGAATAGAAGGGGAAAAAGACGGTTGGAATACAGGCAAGAAAAGGGGAAAGGTATGCATGAAATCACCATAATTCAAGGAAGGGAGAAGAAATAAAAGGTTACAGGAGTCCAGAGGAAGGAATGGTCATTTCCAGCCTGGGTGGGGTTGATGGGGACAAGGAAGAGAGAACCAAGAACCACCTCGCAGAAGATATGGCAGTTAAGGGGACTTGAGGGGCAAGTGGGTGAGGTGGGCATGTCCAGCTTCCATCAGAAGTGAGGTTTCTCAACCTCTCAGAGCAGGCAGGATTACGCCTCCTCACCCCTTGATATCAGGCACAGCAATGCGACTAGTAATGGTCAAGGGAAAGTGTACAGAGAGTTAAAAGCCAGCTTCCAGGCTCTCTTCCAACTGCAACACTGACCAACAACATTCCAGAGAGAAGAGGCTCTCCAGCTCAAGCTCCTACGGCAGACTCACAGGAGGCAGAGCCCTCCTGCTAGTGCAGTGTGCAATGGACGGGTGACCCTACTATTACTTCCCTGAGAGTTTGGAATGGAGTATTTTCTCAGCACAGCATAGCCCTGCCTATTCGGTCTGGATGGCATGTGAACAGAAGGGTGCATGAGGTAAGGGCACCTGGGGGTGCAGAGCAGCACTGGCAAAGCCAGGGAGCACCCCCGGGCAAGATGGGGTGGCTGGAGTGTCAAATAGCTACAGAGGAGTAAAATAACTTGGGAAGTAAAGTTGGAAGAGCAGGCTCAGTGAATATTGTGTGAAGTCTCGAACACTAGGCAAAAGAATGATACTGTAGCCGGGGGTGGTGGCTCATGCCTGTAACACCAGCACTTTGGGAGGTGAGATAGGCAGATCACCTGAGGTTGGGAGTTCAAGACCAGCCTGACCAACATAGAGAAACCCCATCTCTACTAAAAATACAAAATTAGCTGCGCGTGGTGGCATGCCTGTAATCCCAGCTACTTGGGAGGCTGGGGCAGGAAAATCACTTGAACCCAGGAGGTGGAGGTTGCAGTGAGCTAAAATCACACCACTGCACTCTAGCCTGGGCAATATGAGCGAAACTCTATCTCCGAAAAGAAAAGAAAGGAAAAGAAAAGAAAAGTAAAATGTGGATGAGACCCCTGGGAAGCTCACAGAGGGAGGGAAGAAGCCACAGGACAGACCTGCAGGGCACACCAAACAATACTGATGGGAAGGAGGAGGGAAAAACCCAGCATGCCAGAAGGAGAGTTTCCAGAAGGTACAAAGGCTTGAAAGTGATGGTGAGGGGATGTGGGGGTGCTGGGAGCCTTGGAGAGGGCCGCTTTAACAGAGTGGCAAAGGCAGAGGAGTGGGCGGTAACCAGCAAGCCGAAGCAGCACACAGAGAGTACTCTTAGAAGTCAGTGAGAAAGGACGGGCGCGGTGGCTCACGCCTGTAATCCCAGCACTTTGGGAGGTTGAGGTGGGCAGATCACGAGGTCAGGAGATCGAGATCACCCTGGCTAACATGGTGAAACCCCATCTCTACTAAAAATACAAAAAATTAGCCAGGTGTGGTGGCGGGGGCCTGTAGTCCCAGCTACTTGGGAGGCTGAGGCAGGAAAAACGGCGTGAACCTGGGAGGAGGAGCTTGCAGTGAGCCGAGACCCCACCACTGCACTCCAGCCTGGGTGACAGAGCGAGACTCCGTCTCAAAAAAAAAAGAAGTCAGTGAGAAAGGAAAGCAGATCGCTCAAACCATCACTTAAAGCGAGGAGAACAAACAATATTAGGATGTTTATAGACGGAGGAAAGAGAATGAATGGTGAAATGAGACAATAGAGAGGACAGCCAGGTCCCGGAAGTGGGAGAGGCCAGGATTGCAAGTACCAGACAAGGGCAGGGCGCGAGAGGGAGGAAATAGAAGAACGTGGCGACGGGGGCACTCTCGGGCTCTACATCCAAAGCCCTGCTCCCTACTACCCACCTCACTGCATGAAAACGCTCATCTTTACACCAGGGCCGACACAAACAATAGTCACATCCCACCTTCTGGTTCCTTCATGCATCACTCCCTACCAGTTCCTTACCCGAGAGGGAACCTGGACCACTCTACTCTCCAAACACGCACTGCTTCATTCTGTGCATGGCGTTCACTATCCCCAAAACTAGGAACAGCAACCCCAGTCAAGTCCCTGCCTTTCTACCTGCCGAAATCCACCCATCTTTTCAGATACAGAAAGTTCTTCTCAATCTCCCCAATGTGATGAGTCTCTCTTCCATTGAGAAGCATGGTAATTGCACATGCTGTCTCAGAAAAACTATCATATTCAAGTTATTTGTGCCAGGAGTGGTGGCTCAGGCCTATAATCCCAGCACTTAGAAAGGCAGAAGCAGGAGGACAGCCTGGGCCCAGGAGATTGAGACCAGCCTGAACAATATAGCAAGACCCCATTCTCCACAAAAAGGGGTTCAGGGAGAGAAAGACAAAGTTATTTGTGCACTTGTCTTATCTTCAACTATCAGATTCTAAGTTTTTATTTTTTATTTTATTTGAGATAGTCTCCCTCTATCATCCAGGCTGGAGTGCAGTGGCGCAGTCTTGGCTCACTGCAACCTCCACCCCCACCTTGGGCTTAAGCAATTCTCCCACCTCAGCCTCCTGAGTAGCCAGGACCACAGGCGCATACCACCAGGCCCAGTTTTTGTTTGTTTGTTTGTTTGTTTGTTTTGATAGAGACTGGGTCTAGCCCTGTGGCCCAGGCTGAAGATAATCTTCTTAAGATGTGGAAATACTCATCTGCATAAACCTCCTTAGCATTTGGTATAGCCCCACTGCTTAAACTTCAGCTTGGGAGTTTGTTACAAATACAATTCCTTATACTTCTCAAGTGAAAACTGCAGTAGTCACATGTTTAACTTTTACAATAGGAAAGCCTCTGGCAGGGGAAGAAAAGTAACCCTGGGAATTCTTTGTCAGATAGCAAAGAAGCACTTAAAGGCTAATAGAGTGGTGGTAAAAGGACATAGGAACCAGCTTGATAGTTTCCCATTGGCCAAATTTGAGATCAGTGGAGCAGCAAAATTTGATACTGCATTTTTTTTACATATATTCAAGAACCCGAATATATGTGGTGGCTCACACCTGTAATCCCAGCAATCTGGGAGGCTGAGGGGGGGCGGATCACCTGAGGTCAGGAGTTTGAGACCAGTCTGGCCAACATGGTGAAATCCCATCTCTACTAAAAATTACAAAAATTAGCCAGGCATGGTGGCGCACCTGTAGTCCCAGCTACTTGGGAAGCTGAGACACCAGAATCGCTTGAATCTGGTAGGTGGATGTTACAGTAAGCTGAGACATGCCACTGCACTCTAGTCTGGGTGACAGATTGAGACTTTGTCTCAAAAAAAATAAAAAATAAAAAATAAACTGAATATATTGGCTTCTTTTATGAATCCAGGATAGCTATTATCATGATGCAATTTGGGGTGCAACTTCAGCCAAAAACTGTCCAGGCTTCACAATCTCCAAGCATTCACAGATTTATCCATAGTAATAACTATGTAAGGCATGGCAGAAGCAATGTACTTTACCTTGGGAAGAAGCATATGGTTCTGTATAATGTCCATTATAGTGCAGCTGTGGTGGGGGAGGCATCACGTAGGGCTGGGGTTTAGGCTAAGAAATGGAGAGTTGGACACAGGGTTAAAACACATTGCTTATGTAATACAGGTAAAGTTATTATCCACTGGATTCTTTCTGTTAAAAAAAAACTTCTGAAGGAATTAAATTTATTATATATGGAAAATAAACATGAAGACACAGTAGTTCTTATCATATCTAGCATTTTCTATGTTTCCGCAAATGGCAATGCCAAGCCCTATGACTGATTCCAAGGACATTTGGCTTCACAAGAAAATCTGCATCTAAAAAGCTAAGAGGAAGAAGGAATAGATACAGATTTCCTTGTATAAACATTTGAACATAAGAAGCTTATATGTATTATAATCAATCTTATTAAAGTCATCTAATATTTTAAATATATACCAACTTAGGATTACTCTTGGCCAACAGTCTAAGTTCTTAATATTAAGGTCAGATCTAACATTCAAATATGTATAATATAATAATATAAATACTGGATTGGATCTATGGGAAAAAATCACCATTTCTTTGGTTAAAAATGATGAAAGATCAATACACTTTTATGGTTCAAACTCAAAATTAACAGTATTAAAAGCATATTTTATTAAGGAAAAACATCACTAAAATATAAAAGCAATCATATTTTCCTTGTTTCTTACCAGAGACATCCTTGAAGAAGACCTCCTCCTGATTGGGTTCACTGTGACAGTCTGAGTTTGCCTATAAAATAGGATGTCTCTGAGAAGAGCACATACACACTGTCTCTTAAATTTTACCAAAACAAGATATAAGAACGTAAAATAATAAATCTTCTAAGGCAAAAAAAAAAAAAAAAAAAAAGACAGGCTGTCTAAGTCATGAAGTCAGAGAGAAGAAGGGAGTTTTTTTTTTTTAACCAAAAAAAAAAAAAATAGCTGGGTGTGGTGGTATGCGCCTGTTTCTCTCTCAGTCCTTTCCTGCTACCTCAACCCCTCAACCTGTCCTGTGGTTTCAGGCTCCCCACACAGTATCATCGCCTGGACCCACAAAGGGATCAGAGCATCTTTGCCAGGCCCATCCAAGTAAACCTTTGGATTAGCCATAAGCAGTGGGGAAAGAGACAAGGCTGTATCACCCACACACTTGCTGCAGGAAAAGTGGGATTCAGTGCAAATGCAAATGTGTTTCTCCTGTGTGCTGGGGGAGCCCTGGATCTCTCCACTAACCTTCCTCCTGGGGAACCATCCACTGTCAACCCAGAAGCCTCAAGCAGTAAGAACTGCTTTAATTAAAAGTCTGTTAACCACAGACTACAAACATAATAAAGAAATGAATTTAGAATTTTAGTGACAAGAAACTACATTTCCAAGTGCAGTAAGCACGCTCCTGTAGTCCCAGCCTCTTGGGAGCATCTTGGGCCCAGGAGTTCAAGACCAGCCCAGACAACATAGCAAGACCCCATCTTTTAAAAAACTCAAATATAAAAAAAATTCAAACATATATATTTGTAAAATCTACATTTCCTCTAAGGAACCAAGGGAAAGCAAGGCACAAGATTTGGTTCAGCAAGCTGATGGTAAACCCATTTACCTTTCTTTGCAAGAAATTTCTGATTTGTTTTGAATATATTTTTTAAAAAACACCTAAGGCCAGGCACAGTGGCTCACACCTGTAATCCCAAACTTTCAGAGGACAAGGCAGGTGGATCACCTGGAGTCAGGAGTTTGAGACCAGCCTGGCCAACATGGTGAAACCTTGTCTCTACTGAAAATACAAAAACTAGCTGGGAGTGGTGGTGGGTGCCTATAATCCCAGCTACTCGGGAGTCTGAGGCAGGGGAGTCACTTGAACCCAGGAGGCAGAGGTTGCGGTGAGCTGAGATTGCGTCACTGCACTCCAGCCTGGGCAACAAGAGCGAGATTCCAGTCAAAAAAAAAAAAGCACCTAAATGTATTAGGGAGTACATTAGTGCTGACGAATACTTATCTGATAATGTGAGATTTTAAACTATTCGCATGGCAAGTTCTATGTTTAAATAAACAATAAGGTAAAAAAAGGAACAAGAAACAGAAAAGCCCATTTGTAACTATTGTTTTTAAATAAAGGCAAGATTTTTTTTTTCTTCTGTGTGGTCAGTTTTACTGCAAACAATGTGTGTAGATCTGGGAACCTACACACATTGAATTCTTGGCTTTGTTGATGTCATGTAGTTTGTCAAAGCACTTTTTCTTAGACCTTTTACCACCTATTCCTGGTTCATGTACTTATGTAACACATAATTACTGATTACAAAAATATTCTGTGACCTTTGATTACAGTGTTCTAAGGACTAATTACTAGAAAATCCATCATGACAAAGTGAATATTCAATCCATTTAAGCAAATTTACCATAATATCAAGCCTCACGTCTCATAAATTAACATTACTCTTAACACTCTGAAAACTAGTATCTTATATTCAAAAACCCTGAATATTAGCTTATTTTTATAAGACTCCTGAGATAAAAAGAAAACCAGTACATACTAGTTTTAACGTCAGGTGATTACAACTGCTTTTACTAGCTTTTATAAATAATTTCATATTCTTTGTTATTGGAAAGTACTCAGGCTGTTAATGAAAAATAAATCTCTTTTCCAAAAGATGTTCCATTCTTCCAGTATTTATTTTGGTGAGACAAGTCTGCGTGGTGTGTCTGGTTTTTTTTAAAAAAAAAAAAACAAATACTCCTTAACTGTACATTAATATATTCCTTAAAATTAGTACCCACAAATTAGCTGGATGTGGTGGCAGGTGTCTGTAATCTCAGCTAATCAGAAGGCCGGAGCAGGAGAATCACTTGAACCAAGGGGGTGGAGGTTGCAGTGAGCCGAAATCACGCCACTGCACCCCAGCCTGGGAGACAGAGTGAGACTCCGTCTCAAAAAAAAAAAAAAGATAGTACCCAGAATTTGAAGACACCGCATTTTTGCAGCCTTGAAATTTACTTTGTCTCTGGTTATTCTTCACTGTCAAGACTAGGTTTAGGCAAACTGGGTCCTCTGAATATTGTGTTCAGTCTAGCAGAGACTCACTGTCCAGATGGACTGAACTTAAACTTTTAAAGTACTATAAATTCACAAGGGTTGCCGACAGAATTCTCTGTCAACAAACTCCAACAACATGTCTATAATTGCCCAGCCTGGGGCAAAAATAAAACACAAAACCCAAGGATGCAGAGCTTCAGCACATGGGCGGCCCTCCCACACTGATAGCTATCTTGGCACTCTTGCTGGCAGCACCCAGTGTGGAGGCGAACACTGCCCACTGTAGTAGCCGGCTCTACTAACAAAACAAACTACAAAAGCATGTACCTGCCAAAGTGCTTGACCCAGGCAGCCGCACCATCAGTTCTAATAGTCTAACCTTCTCTTTCTTCTTGGCGTTGTTCTAATAAATGCAGTTTACTCCAAGACCAGCTATTCTCAACTTAGCATACAAGAGAAAACCATGTAACTATTGGTTGTGGTTTCCAAACTTTTGGGGCAGTTACTATGTTGATGTAGTAAATAACTAATAACTGAGAAGAAATAACAGAAGAAATCACTAGAATCTGTGCGCCAAAGAAGACAAAATAAAAATTAAAAAGGCTGAGCCAGGCATGGTGGCGTATGCCTGTGTAGTCCCAGCGACTTGGGAGGCTGAGGCAGGAGGATCCCTTGAATCCAGGAGTTCATGGCTGTAGTGCGCTATGATCACATCTGTGAATTCCCACCATATTCCACCTGGGAAACTGAGACACTAGGACCTTGTATCTTTAAAAAAAAGAAAAGAAAAAAGGCTGCCAGCCCAAGTAAAATCAATATTATGTATTGAAACTGTGCTAAGGACTGTATGTGATTATCTCGTGGAATGTGTACACCAACCCCACAAGGGAGGTCCAGTTATTATCCTGATTTTACAGATAAGGAAAGTGATACGTAGGTTCAGTAAGTTGCTCCTGGTCACATGGCAAACAAGTAGTAGAATCGGCATTTGAACCAGTAGGTCTGTCGGATTCCTGAGTGTATGTGTCTAGCAATCATGTGTTCAACCTGCTCCCCGGCCCCAACTAATCTGTAAGCTCCATGGAGGCAAGACATGGTATCCCTGGTGCCTTTGCTGAGCAAGTGAATGACTAACAAGTGAGGACTAAAGTGATGCTTATTACTAAGCATTTACAGCTGAGCTTATATTTCTAAGCCTCGTCTGAATTTTGCTTTTTAAGTTTCCTTTCTTATATGATGAAAGGGAGTTAAGATTTTGACAAACAAAAAAAATGCCATTGATAGCTCATAAACTAATAGATAGTTCAAGGAATAGACTCCTTCCTGTAATCCTAGGTACTTAGGAGGCTGAGATGTAAGGATCGCTTGAGGCCAGGGGTTTATGACCAGCCTGGGCAACATAGCAAGACCCCATCTCTAAAAAACTAAAAAAAAAAATTAGCCAGGCATGGTGGCACACGCTTATAATCCTGGCTACTCCAGAAGCTGAGGGCTGAGGCCACTGGATCCCTTGAGCCCAGGAGTCTGAGGTTACAGTGAGCTATGATCACACCACTGCACGCCAACCTGGAAGACAGAGTAAGACCTCATCTCTTAAAAAAAAAAAGTGTTAGATGGTGGAAATACCTAGCAAATGTTTGTCTCAATGACTTACCTTTTGAGCTCACTATAGTAAGGGTAAGGAAGAATAAATGCTCTCCTCCCAGCCTACACTTGGGTAGACCAGGGCTACATCCAAGCTGCTTACGTGTCACTGACTTGGCTCTGAGATGCCTGTTCCTACTGTTCACCCCCTACCAAATCCCACCTTAGGTGCAGCTCCCTGGCATTGTGGGCAGGGAGACGAACAAAGCCAGCAGAGACCATCTCAGGTAACTGGGAAGGAATACTGATGGAGGGAGAGGCCCTGGCATCACTCCAGCCCCATGACATGTGTGGTTTTCTTGTTTTTGGAGACGGGGTCTTGCTCTGTCGCCCAGGCTGGAGTGCAGTGGTGTGATCCTGGCTCACTGCAACCTCCACCTCTCAGGCTCAAGTTATTCTCCTGCCTCAGCCTCCCGAGCAGCTGGGATTATAGGCGCCCGCCACCATGTCTGGCTAAGTTTTGCATTTTTAGTAGAGATGGGGTTTCACCATGTTGGCCACGCTAGTCTTGAACTCCTGGCCTCAGATAATCCACCTGCCTCAGCCTCCCAAAGTGCTGGGAACACAGGCATGAATCACAGCGCCCGGCCAACATGTGTGGTTTTCTAGGGTGACACTGACCTCTATCCATATAAGAACCCACTCAGAAAAAGCCGCTGCCTCTCCTCACCTCCACCAGGGGTCCGTGTCCCCATACCCAGAGGTCCCACTGTTTGGCCTTGTGGCTGCTCCTCCACTCCCCTCCCACCTCTTCCTGCCCTGCTCCTTCACATGGATCCATGGGAACTACTGGCTCCTCTCCACACTTCTGGGACTCAGGGGACTGGAATGGGATAGGGGCTGTTCCATCTTCTTCCAGACTTCCTATAGTCTCTTCAAGCCCTGCAGCAGGCCTAGAAGAAGACGGGGTAAATCCTTTCCCTTTCCAGGCAGGGCCTACTCCAGTCAGTCTCCTGATTACAAAAGTCTCCAGAACCAAGGTGGACACTGGCTGCTATGTTCACCGACACCCCTGAGCTGCAGGGAGCACTCACCAGCCATCTCACTGCGCTCAGTGAGCGGCCTGCTGCAGT